GCTCATCTTGACCTTTTTATCACCGATATTCATTTAGTTTTTTTTATAAAATACCTTTAAAAAAATCTTAGATTGAACCTCTAAGCTAGAGGCCACAATTTCCACCCTAAAAGTCTTTTGCTATTCATACCACTTGAAAATGAAATTTATCTTTTGAGCATAGTTATGGCAACAAAAACAACAAAGTATGCAAAAATACAAAAATGGAAAAGAAGATATTGATTTTTAGGTAAGGCACTTCTATGAAGTTTTCTTAAAGGATAATAGTTTCCCACTATGGTGTAAATGTACTCTTGTAGATGTTATCCCCAAGTAAAATGCCTAAAATTGAAGAAGAAAGTAATTGCACTTCATGTTTTTTTTACACTCATATGAATCATTAACTAGAAAAGAAAGTATAGGAAGATAAAAGATGTTTTTGATCTTTTAAGAATGAAAAGATGTAAAGTTGTTTGACTGTTATTAAAATTGTGTTTAAAAAAGTATTTATAGACTTTAGAGGATGTCTCAACCCACCTTTCATGTATAGACATCATTCAAATGAATTGATGCAACTTTTGGAATGAAAGAACACTTCCAATGGATTTAATTTTTTAGTGTCCAAGTATGGGTATTCGAACGCCCAACATAAGATATTTGCATGTTTGTTTTCCATAATGTGGGCATTTGAATACCCAATCTATAATATTAGAATACCTATTTTCTAATTGTCAAATTTTATTAGTTTGAAATAGAACATTCGATTTCCATTTTACTACTTCATTCCAAAATTCATTTTATACTTTTAAAACATAAATTTTCTAACAAAATACATTTTATATGATTTAGAAAACAACAATCTAACTTAGAAAATATTATTCTTTGGTAATATTTACAATAATATCTTTCATTCACCTAGCTCTTCCATTTATTAGGCTTAACCCAAAAGTTTTCCAACCATTGTTGGCTATCTTTGTTATTTTTCTCTCTTGTTTCACTTTTTTTTTTATATTTTTTTTATGTTGGTTCCCTCTTAAGATGTTGTTAATTGTTGTTTGTGGTGTTTTTCCAGCCATCAATAATGGTCGAAGTATTCTTGTTGATCGAAATATAGTTGTCGATCAAAGAGTTTCTAGTTTTGTGTTAGGTGTAAAATGGGGTTTAAGGTTTGTTTTAATTTTCCTTCACTACAGAATTGTAAATAATAAAGGGTGAAGAAGATTTGTAATATCAATCAAACTTGAAATTGCTTAGGGTTTCAAATTTTTCATTTTTTCACACTTTTTGAACCAAACAAATGAATAAAGAGAAGAATTGGAAAAAAGCTTGAATAGAATCATGATTCCATTCAACCAAAAGTGCTATTAGTTCATCTTGTACACATTAAGTTAAAATTTTAATAATAATATTTTAAATTTAATAAATTCATTTTAAAAAATGTTCAGTAAAGGAATATAACATTCTAAATTTCTATTTTTGAAATTTTAAATCACAATTTGGTCTTATTGTCTTCAATATATATATATATAACAACAACAACACACTAAGCTATTCATTTCATCAACAACCACATTTTAATCTAAGTTTTTAATATCATATTATTTTTTATTACTTGCATCCATATCTTTCGTAATCTACCTCTAGATATTTTGATTTCTCATAAATCTAGAGATTCAATTCTCTTAATTGGTGCACAGTTGGTCTTACGTTTCAAATGTCCAAATCATCTCAAATGGCCCATCTATTATCTTCTCTTCAATTTGGACTACTTTTAATTTTTCTTGAATCTTTTCATTTTCTAATTTTATTTCTTTTAGTCTTATTACATATCCATTTAAGCATCTTTATCTCTACTATGTTTATTTTCTTCTTATGTTGTTTCTTAATAGCCCAACACTCAATTTCATATAGTAATGTAAGCTTTACAATTATATTATACAACTTCACATTTAATTTTAAAGGTATGTTGTGATTACACAACACACCCAACACATTTCATCACTTTGTCCATCCTACTTGAATCCTATGTTTGACATCTGCTTCTATCTCATTATCGCTATAAATAATTGATCCCAAATATTGAAATTGGCTATTATTTAGTACTTTCTTACCATCCAACTTAATTACACTAGTACTCACTTCTTTGTAACTACTAAACTTGCATTTTATATATTCAATTTTAGATCTATTCATTTAAAACCTCAAGACTCCAGTATACTTATCCATGATTCTAATTTTGTATTAAGGGCATCATAAGTTTTGGAAAATAAGATTATATCATCGAAAAATAACATAAACCATGACACCTTATCTTGGATATGTCTAGTGAGCTCGTCCATAACTAATGCAAAGCCTTGATGTAATCTTGAGATAATAGAGAAACGATCTGTCATGCCCCAATCATCCTCACATTCGTTATCACTCCTTCATATATAGCTTTTAATTATGTTTATGTATTTTAAAGTGACTCTTTTTTCATTAAAGCCTACTAAACACCTATTGAGGAACTATATCGTATGCTTTCTCAAAGTCGATAAATGTCATGTATAGATCTTTTTTTTTACCCAAAAACCTTTCAATAAAAACCTAAAAAAAGGGATGGCCTTTGTTGTGGAGTGTCCTAGCATAAATCTAAATTGATTTTCGAAAATGATGACCTCACATCACAACCTATATTCAGTTACTCTCTCTCAAAGTTTTATAATATAACTCATAAAATTTATTCCTTGATAGTTCGAACAATCTTGTATATCACCTTTTTTTTTTTTTTTTTTATAAAGGCACAAAAGTGTTATTTCACAATCTCTCTCCATTCTTTTGGCATCTTTTGGATACGTTAAATTTTATTGAAAAGATTTGTTAACCATCTTATTTCTATTCATCCAAACATGTCCTGACTTCAATCCATTAACCCTCCGATATCTATGATAATAATAATAAATAAATAAATAAAGTAACAATAGTCTTGAATTTTATTTCTATTATTATGTTATTTTACATAATTAAAAAAAGGTAAGAAAGGTTAATCAATGAACTTTTGAATTTATTTGGTACATAAGATTATAATAGAATATGATACAATAATATTATGATTAAAATTAGATTAAATAATATTATTTTATCTTATGTTTAATGTATATAAATATTAACATAAGATAATTTATTTATTGATTAAAATTATTTTTTCTTAAAGTTTATACAACTGAAATTATTAATATAATTTTTAAAAATATAATAAAATATGTAAATTTAATTTTATGAATTAAAAATATATTTTTTATTTAAAAAAAATCTCTTTATAATCTTATTTTTTAAAATATAAATTAATCATAATATAACATAATTATAATTAAAAATAATTCTTTTTATTTTAAAAAAATTTCTTTAAAATCTTATTATTTTAAAATATAAATTAATCATAATATAAAATAATTATCATTATATCTTTTATATTATTTCCTGCATTAAATAGGATCTTCATTTATTCTATTAATTAATTTAATGAATGGGGTTTGAGTTGGGAGGGGGGGGTTTGTTGTCGGCTAGGGTTAAGCACACCGTCAGAGAGGTTGCCAAAGCATGATGACGTAGCAATTAGTTCACACGTGGCACAGCCTCGGGATTTCACGATAGCGAGGAAATGAAAGCTCTCACAAAGCAACAAAAGTGGATGCAGAAAGGGTTCCATTATGGTGGGCCAGCCATTTTCCTGTTGGGTCCCGGATTCTGACGTGGCCACATTGGTCTCCCAAAATTATTTTCTTTATTTATTTTCTTGGTCGAGGGTCCTGATAAAATGGCATCCTCGTCCACCGAACTCTTCACCACTCAATAGTCTCAAGTGAAGACAACGACTATCTAATTAAATTAGTCAGAAACCAAAATAGTTTGTTCATCCACCACGTCATTAATTGCGTGAAACACCTTTGTCGTATTATCCTTGCTTTTTTTTTTTTTAATATTTTTTATTTACTGGTTTGTGATGAAAAAGCAAACGGTAGCCAACAGCAAGCGAACAGCAAAAATCCGAGGAGACGAATGAGCGGGGAACATAAACCACGTGTCGAATTCATCCGGCACTTAATGAGAGCAACTTTGCCAAGTAGGATTGCTTTTAGCATAAAATTTCTCTTTTGTACGTTGTATAAAATGTGAATCCCACTCGAAGCGCGTGGACCTGGCGATTTTATTTTTTCTTTAACTGCGCGGCGATTAGGTTCCCTATTTATATATTTATATTTTATAATATATTTGGTTGTGGGACCTTTTAAAAGTCATCAAAAGCTGCCACATATAGCGAACGTGACAATAGGCCAACGCGCGGAAATAGTTTCTAGACCGGCAGCTGATTGTGGGGCCCACATTCTCTGAAGGTCAGTGACCGTGACTCGAGTTACCACCCCTGTTATCCCACTATTCCAGCCGTCGAATTCATACAGCGAACGGTCCAGATCAGGATTGCTGATCGACATCACGAGCCTCCTGGTTCGATGCCAGCTCGGACGTGTTTGTTCGTTGGGAATCTGGTTTCGGAAATTTTCTTTTTAAAAGGATGCGAGAGCCACGTCAGATCGTAATCCAAGGGCTACCAAAGTTGCTTTTACTGGTTACATCCAATCTGGTCCGTCGACATTGGCCAAAAAAATCTGGTCCGTCGATTACCTATCTGGTCCCTAACTCTCTTAACCCTAATACTATAATTCCTATTTTTAGTAAATATTACAAAACTGATTATTTCTTGTTATCAAATCAAAGCGAGTGAAATCAAAATACGGAAGCTTGAGAGGGAAGAAAAAGAAAATGACACGTGGCATGATAATTCAGAAAAGGTTAAGACCACTAATCCAACAGTCTAGATCTTGCCATGTTGGTTTATTCCAATGAAAACCGTTGGATTTGTCGAGGAGCCGACGGTTACGATTTGAGCATTTTTTTTATGTCATGTATCGTGGCCGTCCATTAGCAATTTGAGTGGGTTCGTTGAGAGTGAAATAGCGAGACGAAGATGAGAATCATGAGATTATAAAACAAAAAAAGGAGAGAGAGAGAAGGAGAAGAAAGAGGGAGAGAGAGAGAGAGAGAGAGAGGGGGGAACAATTGAAAGCTAAAGATCTTTCATGTCTGACAATTGCTTCGAAACAAGATCTTTGAAAACTATTGAAATCGGTTTTCTCACTGGAGATAGTCACCGGAGCTTATTTTCCGGCGATTAATGGTACATGTCAGGGGAGTGACTGATGACTGATGCGATTAGTCTTGTTTCTATAACAACTAATTTATTATCATCAAATCGAGTTAATTTACAGAGATGGATAGAAGCAGAGAAGCGAGGAGAGTCACCATGGCCGCTGCCGCCACCACAAATGGCCTTTCACGGCGGCGGCATAGAAGTAGCTCTCTTAGAGACTCTCCAGGTTTTCAACTCAGATCTGATTTTCATTTCTTCTCTAACGGTGTCGTTCTAGTGAATTTTCTGATTTGTTTTTTGTTTGCCTTTGGTGCAGAGGATTATGGGCCGGTGGAGTTACAGGAAACGGCGCGTTTAAGGGATCGAAAGAAGGATCGAGATCGTGAAAAGGAACGGGAACGGGAACGGGAACGAGATAGAGAGCGGGATAGAGAACGAGATAGAGAAAGAGATCGCTTGAGTAGAACGAGTAAGAGAAGAAGAGGCGATATATTGATAAGTAACAGAGAAGATGGAGGCGATGATACTTCTGAAGAAAGCGTAAACGATGACGAAGATGATTATGACGAAGATGGCGGCGGAACCGGCGGTGGAGGTTCTCTTCGGATACTTCCGCCGAACACCACTGCCGGGTCTTTGTCGATATCAAATCATCATTATCACCATCACCAACATCATCAACAGCAGCAGCATCAGCATCAGCATCAACATCGGAAGAGCTTTCCACCGTCAGTGAAAGTTATTAGAACAACATCACCGGCGGGGACGACTGTGAGTACCACCATGACTACCTCATCTAAATGGAAGGCTGCCGATGAGATGATTGGCGTGTCGGTGCCTAGAAAAGCTCGGTCAGGTAGAGAGGTGGAATAGATTAACGAAATTCTCTTTTTTTTTTTTAGCAAGTTTTCTTCTTTTGAATTCACCGGTTTGTTGTATTTTTACAATTTTATCTTTTTACAGCTTCTACTAAAAGGTCTCATGAATGGGCTTCAAGTGCCGGTGGCGCTGGTGTTATAGGCGCAGAGAAAATTCACCATCAAGCTTCAACTTCGCCGGTGAGGACAGTTGTAACTGGGACGCTATCATCACCGTCTCGGGCTTCAGCCTCCCCATCTTCTTCCAATCCTTCTATGAGGAAGAAGATGGTCAGTTTTCTTATGAAAATCTTCCATTATTATTTTTTGGTTGGGCTTCGTTTTTTGTTCAATTTATTGACAGAGGTTTGGTTTCTGATGTAGAAGCTTAACGGACCAAAACAAAGGCCACCGAAGTCGTCAAAATATTCGTCTTCAGTACAGGAGGAGATTGAGATCGAGATTGCGGAGGTTTTATATGGTTTGATGAGACAGCCACAAGTCGCATCTAAACAAGATATAATTGGGAATGATTTGGACAAGTTTGATTCAACAGAAGTTAATAAACCCAATAATGATGCTAAATCAAGTGTCTCGTCACCGATCTTAAACTCCCCATCAACTCTTCCTCCATCATCTTGTATTTTGCCTTCAAATTCTAACTCCTCTGCTACTCCTATGTCTGCAATTGGTTAGTAACTTTCAGCTTAGAAGGGAAGGAAAACTTTTTGCCTTTTCCAGCAATTGGGTAACAGATTTTGACTTAGGTATTTTTTTTGTTTTTGCAGCTCCAAAGAGGAAAAGACCGAGACCGGTGAAGTATGAGGATGAGGTGACGACAGCGCCACCTCCTTCTGTTTTCACTGTTAGGAACGGTTCCATTTCATCTACTACAACTAAGGTTGAAATTGAGCAACCAGCTAAAATTGAAGCTACTTCTCCCAATTTGGAGAAGAATTCAGGATCCGTGGTTGAAAATGGTGGGAATTCTTATGATTTGATGAATTCTTCACAAGCCGCAACAGCTTCACCGGAGCTGGTTCAGGCTGAACCAATGAAGGAAGAGAAAAACAATTTGGTACCTGATTCAAAGCCTTTGACCATAGCATCTGAGAGTAGAGATATCGGTATCAGTACAAAAGAAGACTCTCAATTGGCAAAGAAGGAATCTTCACCTTCTTCTATTATTAATCCTTCTTCGGCCGGTGTCCGATTGAATGATGAGCATGAGAATTTGACAGTAACAAAAACGTGAGCATTATTTCCTTTTACTCATTTCTTCTTTTGTTAAATCTTGAAGGTTTGAAAGTTTTCCTAATTGGAAAATTTTGGTATTCCAGGAATTCAACGGTTTGTGAGATTGAGGGCCAGCGGGAAGAGAAGTTCCAGATAGATCTGATGGTGTGGATCCCTTTTTGTTAAAAGATCCAATCTTTTTAATTCTCGACTATGGGATTTCTAAGATTTTATTTTTCTTTTCTTTCTTTTTTTTTTTTTTTTGGGTATTAGGCTCCTCCGTCTAGATCATCTGCAGAAAGGGATGCTGATGGTGATTTTGGGGCTTCAGATCCTAAACCAATGGCCATAGATATGGAATTGGTTAGTCACCTAGCTGTCACCTATCTTTTGATATGATGTCTCATAAATTAATGGGTTTTTTTTTTTTTTTTTCATTTGTTTCTATGTGCAGGAGATGAACTCTATGGTAAAGGAAGATGATAAAAGAGTGAAAATCGAAAAGGAAGATGTGAATGTGGATGCTGAGGATAGTAATAAGAAGGCCAAACCGATTGCTGAAGAAACTGAATCACATAAACCATTTGTAAAGAAAGAAAGGAATATTGATCTACTGCTTGATTTGGAGAAATCTGATAGAGATAGTGGCACAGGTAGTATTGGTGCGAACAAGCTCAACCACCATGTTCAAAAGCTGCAGCATCAACAGCCCAGTATGGAGAAAACTGGTAAAATAATCCTCCTTGTTTTCTTTTTCTCCCCGTGGAAATTTCCCCTCTCCTTGTGTTGCTGATCTGGAGGTTTTTTTTGCCTTCTACAGCACACTCTGGTTCTTTACCTTTGCCGATGTCAATGGCTAACTGGCCTAGTGGACTTCCTCCAATGGGGTATAGCTGGGATGATTTGATATTAGTTTTGTGCTTTTTTGTCACTAGCAGATCTAAACCAGTTGTTTAGATGTTATAATGGGGGAAAATTAATTTTTCTTTTCCTGAACAGATACATGGCTCCTCTACAAGGTGTTGTATCCATGGATGGGAGCCCTATATCTTCAGCAGCTATTCAGGCATGTCGCTGTGTTTTTTTTTACAGCTCTTGATTTTTTTTTTCTGTTGCCCTAATTTATCTTGAAATTTTGGACTTTTGCAGCCTCCACATTTGCTTTTTACTCAACCAAGACCACCAAGATGTGCAACCCATAGCTACATTGCTCGGAATATACACTATTTCCAGCAATTTATGAAGATGAATCCTTTCTGGCCAGCAGCACCTGGTTCAGCATCAATCTATGGGCCGAAGGTTTGCAATCTAAATGTAGTGCCCACTTCGGAATTGCATGGGAACATTTCTGTGAGAGGTGTGAATTCTGTACAAGAGAAGGGGCAGGGTCTTGCAATTTTTCCTGGTCATGTTGGCAAAGGTAAAGGTTCTCAGGCGGCTGCAAACATGGTGGACGCTGCACAGAGGAAGCAAATACTGCTCCAGCAAGCTTTACCTTCAGGGGCATCCGGTAATATCCTGGTATGCTTTTTGCCCCCTAACCTCTTCTTCTGTTTAATATTTTTTGCACTCCTGTGTTGTGATAATTACACCATCGAATTTCGACTATCTTTTTGAAAATTTTCATTCTGGTCTGTTTAATTTCAGCATGGTCCAGCTCTTATTTTCCCATTGAGCCAGCAGCAGCAGCCCTGCTGCTGCTGCATCTGTCCAACCTGGGTCTGGGAAATCTCCTGCTGCTGGCAGCACAGCTTCTTCGATTACATCTAACTCAGCCTCAGTGAGTGCCACCCCGGCAGCCCCAGCTCTGAGCTTCAACTACCCAAATATGCCAGGCAATGAAACCCAGTACTTGGCAATTCTGCAGAATAATGCCTATCCATTTCCTATTCCTGCACATGTTGGAGCACAGCCTGCTTATCAAGCTAATCATGCTCAGCCTATACCTTTTATTCATGGATCTTTCTATTCTGCCCAAATGCTTCGTCCTTCACAGCTTCAGCAACAGCAACAGCCACCCACACAGTTACAGCAAAGCCAACAAGGTCATCAGAACACTAGCATGTCCAGTGGTTCATCATCCTCCCAGAAGCATTTGCAGAACCAGCAGAAGAGACCAAATGGAAGTGGTGTGAGTAATGGCAGTGGAAACTTGCAAGTTTTTCCGACCCCAAAAAATCAGTCACCTCATCCCCTACAGCTTCAGCAACAGCAGCAACAGCCAAGTAAGCATGCTTCTCATCAAGCTCGGCAACTTGAGGGTGAATTAGGTAGCGAAGATATCCCATCAAAGGCTGATAGCCGACTATCTCAGGCGAATATGAATATTTATGGTCAGAATTTTGCTATGCCTTTACATACTCCAAATTTTGCTTTGATGACTGCTCCTTCAATGGGTGGTTCCATGAGTTCCAGTGGTAACCATGGGGAGAAGAAGCAATCAACACAGCAGCCACAGCAGCCAGTCTCAAAGGCTGGAGTTGATATTCTCACATCTCAAGCTTTTGCTATGTCATTTAATGGTTCTACTGCTCCAGGCCTTGATATTTCCTCCTTTGCACAAAATCATGGCCTTCCGGAAAGTACAAGGCAAGGCTATCAGCAGATTATGGCGGCTGCTACAGCTGCCCAAGCTGCACAACAGAAGAAGAATAATTATCATGCTTCCGAAGATGGGAAACGCGGTACTAGGGATGCATCTAGTGTGGAAGAAGAAAGGAAGGCCATGGCAGGAAAGAGTTCAGAAACTTTTGGGCAGTCCATTGCCTTCTCTAGGCCGGATCTGTCTGATTCATCTGTTTCCACTAATCCAGGCAACAATGTCATTGATAGTTCTGTCCGTACACTTAATCTTGGCTCTGCACCTGCCAGAACTTCAGGTTCGGTTATGCCAGCTTCAATCAGTGGCATCAATGCTCCTAATTCTCAGCTGCAACTTAAGCGGAATCAACAACAGCAACAGCAGATGCTTCAGCTTCAGAAGCCGCACCAATTTGGGGCTGCTCCTGCTCCCCAAAGTAAGACACCAGCAAAAAGTAATGGAAGTGCTTATTCTGATCACCTTCCTTCACCATCTATGCCTGCCAGGTTTCCAAATGCCCTGTCTGCATATCCTCAAAATCTAGTGCAAAGCAGTGGCAGTTCAGCTCAGTCTCCTCAATGGAAGAATTCTATGAGGACAGCTATCTCTCAAGTTCCTTCTGCATCTCTATCTTCAACTTCATCATCCCTCAAGAATATTCCCCCGCAACAAGGTCGGCCACAGCAAAGCCACACACACATTTCTTTTGCTGCTAATTCTAAATCAACACAAGGCCAACAGCCTACTGGTAGTACTCCATCCCCCTCTCATCCTATGATGGTTGGCTCTCCCTCAACTTCAATCTCCAGGAGTGCTGGTGGTAGCCCAAGGACAGCTAGTTCCACTTCTACTGGCAACAAAGGTGGCCAAGCATCTAGTTTATCGACTCAGCAGGCCAAGAACTCACCTTCAGTGCCTAGTCTGAAGTCATCTCCTGTCGGTGGAAGGAGTGTGCCATCAATCCTGGGAAACCCTCACATTAGTTCATCTTCAAATACTGTAACCAAGCCCCAAGTGGCGCAACAGCAGCAGCATCAGCATCAAAAGCATGCATTGCATCAAACGCAGATGTTATTTTCTAATGCTTTCATGCAGGGCCAAGTTCAAAACTCAGCAAGTGCAACAGCTGCAAGTGGGTACTATCTTCAAAAACACCGCAATGAGCAACAGCACACACAGCCTCCAAGCTCATCAACAACTTCAATGTTGTCGATGTGTTCTGCGGTTACTCTTGCCAACACTGGCACCACTGACCCTGCAAAGGCAGTAGTTGCTGCTGCTGCAGGCAATATGAAAGGAGGTGGCTTAGCGTCACAGGGACTTATCCATGCTGCACAATTTGCTACTACTCAGTCCTCTGGAAAGCCGCATCAGTATGTGCCAGGCTTCCCATTTGTTCATGCTGTCCCTGCTGCTGTTCAGGTAAAACCAGCAGATCAACCTGCTGGTGAGTAGAATTATGTTCCTTTTTGCTTCGTATTGCAAACCCCATATAGTGAACAAGAAACAGATTCAGCAACAAAAAGAGATTTAGTTAGATTGGGTACTGAAGATTTATGAAGGGGACACTGGTTTCTTGCCCAGAAATGACATTATGCGCTCTGACACAGCCCAAACAAGACTTGACAAAATGCAAAAGCGGAGGTGATTGAAAGCTATTACGTGGCATAGAACTCACTCAACCCACAATTTTGCAAAGATTAATGCAGTGGTGGGGAAATTGTTCCTTGTAAATTGTGCCTTGCAATGTGTATCCAACATATTTATGTAATCTTGTGTTTATAACCTGAGAAGGTTGATCCTGAAGTCTCTAATTAAATTTGATTGGTTTGGTGGGCAGAAGATGGAGTCAAAAATGTTTTGTAGGGCAAAAGAAGATGGTAGGGATGAGGAAAAGAAAGGAAGAGCAACACCTACTTTTCCATCTTTTGGGGCTGTAATGGAGGTTCTTTTTCTTATGATTCTCTTCTTTTCTTTTAGGATTTTGAATTTTCCAAGATAGATGACTCAACAAATCTTTTGACATAATATTTATGCAACTGAAAGGTGTATATGTATTTGTCTATCACATATAAGAGTAACCCTCTTAGATTTTTTTATATAACTCTCCATTTTGATTATGTGCCTCTTTGGGTAATATGCCTTACTTTTAACTAGTCTTTTACTACTTGATTAAATTATTTTCTGTACATTTTATTTACTGGGCTCAAAGAAAATTTCGTTTAGAATTTTCTGCCGCAACAAGGAATATTCTGAGACAGAAGTTTGTTTTATGTTTTGATTGTTGTGTGTGGTGATAAAAAGAGATAGATATTGTGTGCTGGCAAATAAGATAAGATGGATGAATTTGAGCCAACTGACCAACTTTAAAACAAAAAAAAAAAGTTAATATAATACAAACATACAAAACTCATTTCTCTTCTGTTCGGTTTCAAATCCAACCTCCAATCAACTATACTTCATTGAACTCTTAAAATTATCTTAAGAAAAGTGAAAAGAAAACAGAGAAAAAAAGAAAAAAATTATTTTATTTAATTATCAGATATATTAATCGTCATGTGATAAATTTTTATTTTTTTATTAATATCGCATGAAATTTTATTTTAATTGGTAAAAAATTTTTTGTTAAATTTTTAACCAAATAAGAATTTAATTGAATATAAATAAATATTAAAAGAATTAATTAATATTAATAAAAAATATAAACTTAAATAATTTTTTAATTATAATCAGGATTTTCTTTAATGATCTTTAGCCCCTTTTTGTTTTGTTTTTTTTTTTCTCAAGCGACAAAAGGAATCATTTAATGGAAAGAGTAGCTTAAAGCGCCAAATGAACTAATTGAATTTAGATAAGATTACTTTAGGCCGAATAATTTTGGATTGAAAGAAATTTGAGCTGTTTTAGATTTAAATTATTTTGAAAATCATTTTAATTCAATAATTGGGTCAATGAATGAGAGCAATTTTCAACCTCCTTTCTAAGGTCAACCACATCTTTGAGTATTAGATTTAGGGAAAATAATTAAAAAAAAAAGAAATAAAACTTTATGATTATGTATGCATTAAAAAAAGAAATAAACTTTATGATTACAACAATTTATACATTAAACAAAAAAAAATGCATCATATTTTATGAAATTAGTTGTGCGGATGGGTTGATTATGATTATGCATGCAATAAACTTTTGTTCTTGGAGGGGAGGGTACTTGAGGTAGGGGGCCCGGGCCAAGTTATCATTTAAATATTTGGAAATCATATTTCCCTTTGTTAAGAAAAATTAATACTGAAAATCATGAGATACTTAGATGCAAAGAGGTTGAATTGTGAAACATATCACATCTTGAACAGTGGCTGACCACAAAACAATGTGCACGCTCACAAAACTAAATTTCTAATTCGAGAGTACGATTGCAATGAGAAAAGTTATAGTACGCTCACAGAGCTCATCGAAAGGATGAAACCGATTTGATTTTAAGTTATCCAAGCCTTAAAACATATTTATAGTTTATGAAATAATTTAATATTGAAAAATTTTCTTAAATTACTTCAATATGTTGGTAATAATTTAATAACATTTTCTCACCTCAAGAATATTTAAGGACACTATTTGTTATGCTTAGAAGAGGCTTCATCATCGGATTCACTTAATTTTTTTTGTAAAAAAATTTTTCATTTGGGATAATGAGATTTAGAATCTTGGTATCGAAAATTTTTATCTACATTCTCCAATATGTTAGTAAAATTTAGAGAAAGATTTTTTCACCTAAGAATTTGTATAGAGATTGCTATTTGTAATGCTCTTAATAATTTTATTATCAGAGATTCAAAATTTAATTTTTATAAAAATAATTTATTTTTAAAAATATATTTTAATATGTTGGTAAAATTTTCTGTTAAAGAATATCCTACATTATGTTGGTAGGATTTTATGAAAATTATTAAAAAAAAACTTAATAATCATAAGATTTCCAATATGTTGGTAAAACTTTATAAAACCACGAGTCCTCCAATATATTAATAAAGCTTTTTTTTTAAATCATTTTATTATTTTTTGAAACTTAAACCTTTTAATATGTTGATAATGATTTTTTTTATTTTAAAATATTTTTATATAAAAATATTTATAAATGAATAACAAATATAAATAATTAAATAACAAACAAAATAATAAAATAAAATTAATTCTCAAAATTCAGCTTGGTTGGTGGCTTGGAATCGTGGCTCAACTTAGGCACAAAGCTGGCTGGAATGGCTTGGTTAAGACAGCTTGGCTTGGCTTGAGAGGAGCTGTTGGAACCAGTTGCAATTGGGTACGCAACAAATCGGATCTGGGTATGGGTATGGGAAACACGTGGATCCTAATGAACTCTGGATCCAAAACGATGCCATTTAACACCAATATAGAAGGCAAAACTTTTGTTTTTTGTTTCAGATTTCCTTACACTCTCTCTAGCCCTTTTTCTCTTTGCTTCTCTCTATAGAAAAACATAAACACTGGTGGCCAAAAACTGGGAACTAGTCGGATTCTGTAAAACTCATCGGAATCTCACTAGAAACTTCAATTTTAGTCAAAAAAATTCAATTAAAAAAATTAAAAAATTCATCTAATTTTCAAAATTTTTTTAAAAATTCCAAAAAAAATGCAAAAAAATAAAAATAAAAATAAAATCACCTTCCTTGCCTCCCAGAAACTGCCTTGACTGAATTACTCACCATTTCCTAAATTTCCTAAAAATTTCAAAACCTTATTGTCAGAAAAAAAACTCTCTTGAAACTGTGTAATTTTTTTGTATCCTTTTTACCTATTTTCCCTATTCATTTGCTGAGTGTGGAATGGGGTTTATATAGGGATCCAATTCCCTTCAAATTTGGAAGAATTACTTTGACCGAATCCTTGAATATGTAATGATTTGATCTTATGCAATTTGATTTGATTTATGACTTTCTTTTTTCATTAAGATCTCCAAAATCATTTAATCTGCAATTGATTTCCCCTTATAAAATCCCATGATTTAATTTCCATATTGGATTTATGAAATTAATGCCAAGACCCTTCCATGATTTCCCCAGATTTCAACATGGTTTTTTTTCTTATTTTTTTTAAATAAAATAATATAAAAATTATATACTTGGACTCAAAGCCCAGTCAATAATTGAACAGTTCAAAGATTGATCAATTCAATACCTAATAGGCAAACTGAAAGATCATACCTTAAACCATAAGAAACCTTTCATTCATCATGAAAAATCATGACTTTTGTACAAGATCATTCAAATGCCTTGTATGGTCATTCAAATATCATTTTTTTTTTTTTTTTTGTTTCCATAATGCAAACACAAAGTTAGATGCCTTGAATACGGCATTCAAATGCCCTGACCAGACTTTTTAAACAGAAAGGTAGAATTCAGATGCTCTTAATGGAGAATTTGGATGCCCTTGCTAGAACTTAAAAATCTATCTCTACCTAGCTTTAAAGTACATTCCAAGTTTAATCTTAGATTTCTTATTTCCTTAATTAACATAATTAATAATCTTTAATATTTTGAAAATCATTTCTAACATTAATAATATTTTGTTTATGATTATTCTTACTTTTAATTAAATTTAGACATTGTCATAACTTTTTTTTTAATGTCATAACTTTTTTTTTAATATTATAACACTTCTTACCAATTTTATGCAAATACAAATTTTACGTCATCTCTCACCTATTTACGTTACTATAATTTTTTGTTACTTATTACCTATTTTTCTTATATCTTGTAAAAATAATAATTATTTAAAATTTTACGTTTCTAACTTAATTATTTATGTTATAATAATATGTTTTCATAATTATTCTTACATTTATTACATTTAGAATTATAATAGCTATGTTACGACACTTCTTATCTATTTTATACCAAATAATTTGAATTTTATGTTTTCTCACATTTGCTTACTTTACCTATATTTTTATTATTTATTATATTTTTTTATATATTTACATGAATAATAATTAATTAAAATTTTATGTTGACAACTTTATTATTCACATTACAATAAGTTCTTATGTTGTTATTATATTCTATTACATTTAGAATTATTATAACTCTTTTATAGATGTTAGAACACTTCTAACCCATTTTATGCCAAATATTATGAATTTTACAATTCCTCTCACTTGCTTATGTTAATAAATTATTTATTAATTTTTTATTCTAAAATATCATTTCTCTTTTTTTTTTTATCTTGCAAATATTTTTTAGCCATTTTTCTTATATATTTTCAAGAAAAATAATTAATTTAAAATTTATATTACTAACTTAATTATTTATGTTAAAACAATATCTTTTGATGCTTATTCTTATATTCAATTATATTTAAATTTTTTATAACTTGTTTTTTAGTGTATGTTGCAACACTTTTAACTAATTTTACATCAATTATAAATTTTATTATTCCCTTCATATGTTTATGTTAATAATTTTTAAAATATTTATTTTTAAAAAAATTCTTTTATATTGTTTTTCTTAAAAGTATATTTTATGTTAATATTTTATTAATTTGTGTATAATTATTTTTTATTTTATAATGCTCTTTAGCTATTTTAAAACACACCAATTACTTTAAATTTATTAAAAAGAATATTTTAATTATTATTTTTTTATTTTTAATTAATTGCATAAACAATTAATAAAGTGGAAAATAAAAACTATCACCTAAATTGAAAATCCTTTAAATTTTGCATAGAACATTAAAATTTTGCAAAAAATATTTTAAATTTTGTTTAGCAATCTCATTACTTGATACAAAGATTTTACCTTTCTTCACTTTGAAATTTGGTCAATGGTTGATATTTAACTATATAAAATTAATGATATTATTTGTTAATCTTATTATAAAATTATAAAATGTAAACTTACCATATAAGTTCCTGTTATAAATATAAAACACAAGTTCACACTTATAGTTTAGATTTGTGTTATTCATTTTTAAAGCTGTCAGAACTGATTCGAATTTAAAAAATTCATTCAATTTGTTTAAACTCAAACATAACTTAATTCAACTGGATTTGACTAAAAAAAGTGATCAACCCGAATTTGTGCAACACAAACACGAAATTAATTTTAATTCAAAATCATTTAAATTCAAAACAATTCAAAAAAAAAAAACCTATAATTGAATTAATTCAAACTCGAATAATTCAAATGATTGATATAAAATGATTTGAACTTAAATTAAGTATGATTTATTTTAAAAAAAATTAGTTTAATAAAAATAGTAAAA